ATAGAGAGAAGTTCATTTGCTTGATATTGTGGCTGCGGACTGCAGTTATCACAGAATCAACAGACAATGATACAAATACAGAGAAAATCTTTTGATAATTCAGGCACAAATAGTACAATGATGCAAATAAGATGTAGTTCCTATTCCTATCAACAAAAAGAAGCAAATTCAATTTAGAATTTGGCCTTTTCCTTGCTTGCTACAGAAGACCTATTAAGGTTTCTTTCTTTTTCCTATTAGGGTGAAGTTCTTTTTCAGCATGAGTTTCGACAGAAATGGAAGAACAGTAAAACCACAAGCACTGGAACAGAATCAGAAGATGTACATTATTCAGAAGACTTTCCAGAGCTCATACTTAATATTCTTTCTGCAAGTAATAAATCATCCGGGGTTGTGACCTGCAAAACACCAGCACCACATTGTTTATATTCAATGAACGATATTTTTGTCATGTATTGCAGAGAATGAACTCCTGAATACACCGAGAAGCTTTTACGTCCAGAGATTAGAGGGCTTAACATTGGTATTATAGTAAAGTTAAATATTCCACTTCTCAAGAATCAAGCTTGAATAAGATGTTTCACTACCTTGATGTTGGTGTAAGATCCTTCAGTGATGTACACAGGATGTGGAAGGTGCTCGACAATAGAGACGTCATCAGTCACTTCAAGGCCTTCTCTGTGGTACGTACAATTGTTCAGAATATGTATACCAATGATTTTTAATGTGAAAGATAGACGACATTAGTTTCAAATGAACATCAACACTCACATAACACACAAACACATTCTAACTTTCTTTGGTCAGCATTTCATACATATGTGAGTGACCATGTAGTCAATTTGTGATATGATATTTTATAAATAAAATTGATTTAGTAGTATCTGCTTCTGCTTTGGGCACTTCAAGTATCAGCCTCTTAAGGCGTTAGTTGGCATGTTAGTTTGTTGTCCTCTTGGGATTGGTATTTTAGATGTCTTGTTGATGTTCTTGATTGTACCGTTGAACTTTATCTAATGAAGTTTCTATTTGATTTTTAAAAAAAAAGTATCAGCCTCTTAAGGGAACATTAGCTGATTATACAAAATATGATTTGGAAAAGGCTATGATATATTCAGTCCCTCGACATGTATCAACATGAATTCATTAACTGATACTTATTTGTTCATTTTCCAGTATTAGGCATTTTTTAACAATTGGTATACAACCAAATTATGCAACATGAATCAGTTAGTACCTATTTACAAGCTCAAAACCCTTTCTGAGCAACTGAGGTTTGATGACCTGTAGGATTTGATAGGCAGTAAGAATTAGAACATCCTCAAATGATCAACTGAGAGATATAAATGCTTTAAACATTAAACCTGGGGTGTCTGCATTTCCCAAAGTGTTCTCCTGTCCAGAGTTTTGACTACAAAAGACTCGCTGTTTGCCTGCATAGAGATGTTTAGAAAATCATGAGATCGATTGAGTAAAAGAATTCAAATGAATCATGATGACATACAAAGTTCTGCAGCCCCAGTTAGGTTGCAATTCCATAAATTTAAGCGCATTTTACCAAATTTATCACTGGGTTACTGCTATGGTCTTGAAGTAATGGTCCCCAGCATCAAGAGGACCATTAGTTTCAATTGAGATAATGAAAAAACCATTTCAAAGTCAAGTAATGGTCATCCACTGAAGACTGGAGCCTTGTAACATGTTGACAAAAATAGGAACAGAAAACTGCATTATTGAGTGAAACAAAAAGTTTTACAAATGTTTTTCTTTTAAGAAGAATAATCTCAATGTCCAAAAAAGTTTGGAATATCGACCAAACTCCATCAGCATAAACAAACCCTATATCAACTACAACTAAACTACAGGGAAACATGAAAACTAGCAGCTACAAGATACTCTAACATATGAGTTACACTGAAAGGAAAACAAGGAGTATAAACATGAATGCAAGTCATTAGAATTGATACATACCTCTTTGATTGTAGCTTTTACTGGAACACCAAGTACAGCTGCTCCATTCAACCAAGCGTCTTTAAGAACCTAAAAGCATACAATTCTAAAGTCCAATTGTTTTCTTGAATAGTTATTTGAAAATCACAAATATTTTAAGGATAAAAACAGATAATATGGAAACAAGCATGCATAAGTTAAATGCTTTGCTGTACATATAAATTCCTAAGCCTAGAACCTAGAACCACCTACCCCCTGCACGTGGTGATTAAGTGTGCATCTCCTGACTCAAGGGCAGAGGTTAAATATTTGGTAATCCAAAAAGATTTATTCTAGGTGAAATCCATTCCTGGATTTTGTACCACTGTAACTTACCTAGACTAGCTAACTTCCAAGGTGAATGTGCAGTTTTGATCCCTCAGATAATAATCAATATTAACTAGCTTATGGATGGCTCAGAACGTGTAAGGAAAGGAATAAGTATTAAGATGTATTTACTTCATATAGTGATCTATTTAGATAAGAATCATTGCTCTATACCCTCCTAAACCATAATCCATAAAAAATACTCATAAAAAACATAGTACACACTGATCATGAGAGGTGCTCTATACATATGTAATATCAGGACTCAGGAGACAATAAAAGCCAATGCACTAGATGCTCGCAGGTAAAGAAATTTTCATCTCAAACCTTCTCTACGTCTCCAGATGATACAAGAGGTCTAGCAGAATCATGGATGCAAACAAGCTCAGAGCTCAAATCAATTGCCTGTCCACAGAAGTTGTATTCAATGATAAGCAGATGAGTTTATGCTCTCAATAGTTGTTATACAACTCAATTCAGGAGAAAGGAAAAATAAATTAAGAAGTTTTATTGACTTCCATATGCCTACGAGTCGGCCACTATGTGCATGGCGTATACATAAAATGGAAGCATATTCCCAGAAACAAGTCTTCTCAGTTTCATATATCAAGTAAGCTAATGCAACAGACTGAGATAAAGAAGAGCAGAGACTTCATAATTAATTTTTATCAGGTAGATTTAATATCAGGCAACAAATGAGATGCCTTTTCCAAGGAAAAAAAAACAAAATAAAAGAGACTTTGACAATGGAAAAGAAATAATCTCTATTCACCTGGAGTCCGCTGTAAACAGAATCTTGTCTTTCCTTCCCGGGTAATGTGAATTTAAGTTCTTTCTGGATCTTATGCTTGGTCTCTGAGAACATGACCAACCAAATTAGTCCAAATGTCTCCAGCAGCACTACATCCAATAAATAAAACATGTCCAAGAGGCAATGCAAGTTACAAGGAGGGCAAGACAGCAAGGACTGAAACCTTCAAAAATATCCTTGTAGGAGGGATCGCAAACCACAATGATTTCCTTCACTTCAGTCATTTGAGAGAAAGTGTAGAAGCTGTATGGAACCAGCAAACAACATTAAGAAGAGCATAAGACTTGTACCCAGAAAATTAAAAAGAAAAGTAAATATGAGTAGAAAGACAAGCTATATTTCCCCAAGATATGAGCCAAAACCTACACAAGTGAGTCTCATATAGGACGATTGCAACTAGAACTATACAGACACAAACAGGTCAGGTTTTCAGCCACTTTAGGTTAATTATGTCTCGTGACTCGTGTTGAATAATGTACCAATTCAAACTGGTATTGTCTGCTAGGAAGCTTTGCTATCTACAAATGACTGGCTTTTGCAACGAAATAGACTAAGACACCAACATTCATTCAGTCTATAATCCTTCTGAAGGTATAAAAACAAAGCAGTTACTTGTTATTATAATCAACCAGGTTAGCATTCATCCAATTCAAAACAGTATTCATCATCTCCAGGGATATGGTGAGAGTGCATTACAAAAAGATGAGTGTTCACTCCTCTACAGGAAATTAGAAATATTCCCCACGTGGGTTGACTGAGAGTGTTATGAGTTTACCTATACAATGCAATTGGCTGGCTCAAAAGCGGAAGATATTGCTTTGGCATGCTGGCCTACTTGCACAAACATAACAAAAAGCATTGTCATCTGGTAGGATTGGAATAAACAAAAGCTGTAGATGAAGATGATGGAGCATTCATATTCATTCATATGCAGGCACTCCAGAAATGAGAAATTGTTGACAAAAATGAGGAATGTAAGAAGCAAGAGGAGAGGACTTACACCCATTCGTTTACCCTTTCCTCCTGCCAAAAGAATCACGGATACGCTGTTCTCTTTCACTATTTTAGACTCTGGTTTCTGCATAATCAAAGTCAAATTCTTTCCCTTAAGAAAAAAACACACACACAGAGTTCACAGAATTGAATTGTAAAAGAAGATGATTGAATACAAAGAAAGGTCAATTTTTTGTATAATCTAATTTTGTTACATCTACATTGACGACTTTTGCAGAGCAAGTAGTGAAGGTTGAGCTTGCAATTCTAGCCTCAGCCTTAAGCCTGAAATTGAATGGATGGCCTGCCAGCAGCACCAAAGTCATAGTGTAGTGTGAGACAATAGATACAAGGGAAGCAAAGGATGTTTTTATAATTCTGTGAGATGAAAAAAAAAAGTAGATAAAGAAGAAGAAAAAGAGGTTGGATTTGCCTGCAAGTCTAAGGTTAGAGTGTGAAAGTGGTGGAATCCTGAGATTATGACTCGAAAAGAGTGGTGAAGAAGAGGGAGTGAGGAGGTCCAGTCCAACAACACAAAGCCCCATCCCAAACTTGAGAGTTGAGAGCCAAATTCCAAAATTTCAATAGTGAAAGTGAAAGGCTGAAAGGAGGACCAAACTTCTCCCCCAGTAGCCTCTGCTCACTTGGCTTGAGAGTTGAGATTGAGAAGAAAGAGTAAGAAAGAGTGCCTCCCTCCCTCCTATAATATTCCTTGAACTTGGAGACAAAACACCACTAATCCAGTTGTTCATTTCCTATTATGGTTGGTGGGTTGGTGATCATTGATGGGCCTGAAACTAGACCCATTTGTTCTGTGGATTGGACTCAGAGCCCAAACTAAGCCCACCCCCGAATATATATCTGTTTTCAGAGAGGGAGAGAAAGAGGGGAGATTCACTCATCATCAGAGTTTACAAAGCTAAAACTTTTGAGAATAAGCAAGAAGAAGAAGAGAGAAACAGGATGGGGAGTAGTAGCAAAAAGGCGCTGGGGACGACAGGGGAGTTCTTCAGGAGGAGGGACGAGTGGAGGAAGCACCCGATGCTGACGAATCAGCTCCGCCACGCCACTCCCGGCCTCGGCATCGCTCTCGTGGCCTTCGGCGTCTACCTCGTCGGCGAGCAAGTCTACAACCGCGTCATTTCTCCTTCTGCTGCTTCCTCATCTCACGCTCATTCTCACTCTCATTCCGCCTCTACCACCTCTGCTACTCACTGAGCTTCATTTCGCAGGTCAGCAAAGATCCAACCATTTATTTCTCTCAATATTTTTTATCATTTTCAATTACGGTTTTCGTTTATTGCTAAGGGAATTCCAGCTGAAAAATGAATAATCTAGCAATCGTTTCTATTTTCTAAACAAAATTTGAATCAAATTGGTTCTTAGATTATGATTTTAGGGTATTTGCGGTCCAATTAGGTTTTCATTCTTGCCATAGATTAGACCATCATTCAAGTCATTGATGCCGATCTTTTCATGTTTGCCTTCCTAATTATGGCCTTAATGATCATAATATATATAGAAAATATAGGATTTTATCATGAATGATCCTTGAACTTGTTGAAAGCCTCATTTCAATCCTCAAACTTTCAAATCAATCAATCTATGCTTAATATTTTGGTTCGTTTGCGGACTAAAATGAGGGCTTTTAAAAATTTCAAGGACCATTTGAGATAAATACCCTATATATATATATAGATGTATCTTCATGTTTGTGTGTGGGAGTTTCAGATGAACAAGGAAATAGGTAACAAGTACTTGTAAGGAAATATGGTACTCATTGGTAGGTATATTTTTTTTCTTCACATTTTTTGCGCAGGTGTAAAGTTGGTATCATCTACTTTTGGTTTGTTTAGCTTCCATTTAGCCACAATTTGATTTAAGATTTCACCAAGTTGGCTTGTATATGTTTTGTGGTTGTGAATCTTGTGACTTGTGGTTTACAAGAGTCGAATGCTTGTAACTCATTATTATAAATAGCATACAACATAACCACATATATGGACAATTACATATTCTATCAGCGAAATTTGCCTATGATAAGTTAAGAGAAGACTAGCCTCTTTATATAATGGTGTCTAGGTATTTTAAATGGGACCTGATAAAGCTAGTGCTCACAAGCTAAAGTAGAGAAAGAGATCTTACTTGGTTTCTCTAATGCATTCAAAGAATATGTATGTGTCTTGCATCTTCTTTATTTGATAAATAGCTGATATTGCAGATGGGTGCTCCAGCTCAGCATGAGGAACAGAGTTTGGAGTTTCTTGTATTTCTCTGCTCCTTATCTGGTTGATATTTCAATAAAATGTTTTAAGTTAACAAGGGCCTTAAAGAACTTGAAGGCTGTGAATTTTATTCTGCAGAGTTTTAAGATGTTGTTGCTACTCCTTGAATGGCTACATTTGAAGATTGCATCAGTTGAAAGCACGAGTTTCGTTTTTTTTATTTGCCTTTTAACTGCCTGCATCTTCTACTTCTAAACTACTTTCATTTTGGGTTATGATTGTGTTTGGTTATGTGTGTGGTTGATTGAGTTTAGTTATGTTTGCGGTTATTGTCGTGGTTCCGCATGCAAAGGAGCCTGAAGTGGCAAAAGGAGAGAAATTCTTTTGGAAGCCGAAATGCTCTATGACAACTGAAGTTTGAAGGTTGAGTGCATTTTGGCCTTCTTGGATGGTAGATATGAAGCCCAAGTCTTTTTATGAAGTAGTCATGTTGAAGTTTAATTAGCAATTAAAACAAGAACGCTTTGTTTGTGCCACTGCTCTTTTTCATTTTTACTACACGGGTGGTCTCTCATGTCTATTATATCTTTTCATGGCATAAGGTAAGGATCATTACGAGCATAAAATAAGAAGCCTACAAAAGATTTAATCACCTTTTCGTGGTTGCATTTTTGCACAAAAATTTGGCTGCAAGTAACAGACATGTCCGTAGTACTTTCTCCTGTTTCTCATGATGATCTTATTGCCCATATTCCTTTTGTCCAATTTTCATATCTACAATTTGGAAGGGTCTCATTCAGTTTGGAAACAGAGAAATAGTTTGGTTTGCCATAACAAAAAGTACTGCAGTTCTCTCCCCAGTGAGAAGGTTTCTGCATAAAATTGGATTGCTGATTTGTGGTTAAGTTTGATTGTGTTGGTTGGTTTGGTTTATAAAAGTGATAGGGCTCTTGTAGGCTTTGTTCTAAGGAATCTTACGCGTTTCTGAAAATAGTGGCTTCTCAACAGGGCCTGTTATGAACAGAAATTTTTGAAGGGTGAAATTTGCTGGATCTTTCTTCATTTTCTGTTATGGTTAGACAAGTCAGATACTAGGGCTAGGGCATGCTCTACTTTTGGCAAAATCATTTTCCTATGCTTGTGTGAAAATAACTAACGAATCAGAGAAGTTGGGAATAGATGAGAGAGGAATGGCAATGGATTAACCACTCCCCTAATCAATCTAATTCGTAATTTTTCATGTATGGATCATGGATTTTAACATGGAACTCACATAAGTTTTGGTTTCTTATGTGTTGCACATTGAAAAGTTTAGGAATTTTCTACTTTGTGTTACTACATATTTGACCATTCCTAGTGTGTTGTGATAGAACCATATTTCAAAATAGCCAGGGGAGCCACATGGAAGAGGGATGATGGGCCATCCCAAGTGTTATTAGAGCATGTGATGACTTGTAGTAGCTAGAATCAAATATAGTCTTTACAGGTCAGAAAAACGAACTGTAGTTGCATAGATGGTTTACCAAATAATGTAATGAACTAGCCCGCTGTCTCTGGGATTTTAAAACTTGCAATCACAACTTACAAGCTACCAGTCATGAGTGTATAAAAAATTGCATATATGGCAACTAAACTTTAGTCTAACATGAGTGTGGAATAAAGCTAACGTGACTAGAATTAGTTAATTGTAACGATTTGAACTTGATGATGACAGAGAAAAAGTGGGAACAAGTTGGAAGACATCTTTTTGGCAATGTTGAGACAATACGCCTGCAACCACAGACCCCATTTTTCTGCTGCCCAATTAACACATACCTTGTATATAAACTTTATTCTCTCATTCGGATGTCCGCACATTATTACCTTGCGGATTCCATTGTAAACAAAGAGGAAAGAAATGAGAGGTAGTAGAAAATACATAGCGTCCGAATAG